CCATGACCAGATGCTGGGTTTACTGAGCTTCTTCTGCTCCTATGACCCCATTCGCTGCTCCTATGGCCCAGGTGCTGTTGATTCAGTCATTAGCAGCCTGCCCTTTTGCAGCCCATGGCTCATGTCACACAGGCAGCTCATACCTGCTGGCCCTTTGCCCTCTCTGCAACCTGCCTCAGGCTACGCTCTCCCTTCCTAGTAACAGGGGAGAGGTTTCCTGTTACAAAAGCAAAGGGAGACCCCTGGCACTGCCCTGCTTGTCCCTTATGCCAACTGAAGAAGACCCTGGCACATGCCTATCATCAATGTGCCAGGCTGCAGTATGCCAGTGTGTCCTATGGTTCTGGTGCATAGGTTGTAGCCATGTTGGTCTAAGGACATTTGTGGGCAGAAGTGGGCAGAAGTGCAGCCAAAACCTTAGGCAGACAAGGTTCTTTGGGTAAATCCGGTATCTTTTATTAGACCGACTCAAATAGTTGGAAATAACTTCTTCTTTTCCTAAAAGCTTGCAAAGAAGAATTTTTTTCCAACTAGTTGAGTCGGTCTAAGAAAAGATATCAGATTTACCCAAAGAGCCTTATCTGCCTAAGGTTTTGGCTGCACTTCTGCCCACAACTTTTCTTTTGGTTACTCCCCATCCATGGCTCCACCAAGTCCAGGGACCTCCCAGTCAACCTTTGCCTGGCGCCGGCCATGTTTGCCATCTGTTAGACAAGGAAGGAGACCCTGGCTGAGGGGCACCTGGGGAGCTGTGAGGCTGTTTTCCTGTCTGTCTTCTGCACACACCTTTGGGCATTGTTTCATTGAGCGGCATCTACTGGTACCTTGAACTCATTTGAGAGGCAATGGGTTTTGGGTGGTGTCCTCCCTTGAGCTTTCATTATAAACATATGGCCCACGCTCCCATCCCTATTTTCTCATTTGTTGCCCCCCAGAGTCACTTGTTACGTGGTCCATGTCCAGGAACTGGGGGGGGGCTCATTGTTTCTGTGTGGGTCTAAGGTGACAATTAGGCCTGAAACTGCCTTGCAGGTAGGTGTCTGGTGGAGAAGAAAAAATCCAGGGGTCCCTCTATACCAGGCAGGGGGCTCTTCCTGTGAGTCCCTGCCATGAAAACAGCTTCCCAACGTGAGATTCAGAGCACCTACACCACAGAATTTCTGCTGGCGTGGTTAGGACGGCAGCTCTCCCATTGTAGACATGAGATGTGCCAAAAGAGGGAGGACGTAGCTGCACCGACTAGCTGGATGACATGGGCTGAAGCAAATGCACTCCTCTGTTTGCAAAGCCCTATCCATACCACGGTCTTTTCTGGAGCAGCTGTGTCTGCTGAGGAGTAGGAAGCTTGACATCCCTACCTGGCACTGCTAAGCTGGCAAATCTAGGTTGTGCAGAATAAGGTTCAGGGTTTTGGGGGCTGGAGGAGGAGGCTAAAGCGCAAGGGGCTGAGGGTGTCATCTTTGTGACTGCAGCTCCTGGAGGCCTTTGAGGACGTGGCCGTGTATTTCACCCAAAAGGAGTGGGCGCTGCTGGACGATGGAGACAAGGCGCTTTACCGGGACCAGATGCTGAGGAATTACCAAGCCCTCATTTCCCTGGGTAAAGCTCCGGTTCTTGCTTCTCCCCAGCACTCTGCAAGATGATAAATGTCCTGTTTTTCTCTGTTTTTCAACTGCCTTATCCTCGTGAACTTTTAGCTGGTTGTTTAAATCCACTCCCTTGCAATTGCACTGCCATTGCTTAGGCCTCTCATTTCATATTTTCATATCCTCCTTTCTATTGTCCAGCCACTTTTGCTTGCAGCTTTCTCTTGGTGTAACATCTAGAGCTTCAGCATTCGGCAGTTTTGTTGCAGGATGTTCTCACTTTATCCTCTCAGCGAGTCAATAGTATCTCCCATTCGTTGGGCATAAATATTTGCCAGCAACCATTTGGGGGGAATTCTTCCATCTTCTTCACTCTCTTTCCTATTCCGTCCCATCCAAACCCATTTCACAGCCCTAGCGTACACATTTCAGTACAGTCTAATCCCTTTTCTTTTAGTTACTGTCCAGCATAATGTAAGATATGATAGCATCTGCTGCTAGAAATCCTGTTTTTTTCCATTTCCTCATCTTCTCCTCTAGTGAGATTTGAACATGCAATGGACCCCAGGTTCTTCTAACATGGAGACACCCTTAAGTTTCTTTCTATGAGCATCTCCAGCATCTTTATCTTCACAGGCACAGATTCTAGCTTTCCTATCTTTACTTGAAGGTCTCTTTTCTTAAGCTCACTGCCACTCTATAAAGATTTCGCGTCCTTCTGCTAAACTGTCTCTGCATTTTGGAAAAGCATCTGCAAACTTCATATGACCCACAGTGCAGATCATACCGTTCTTCTCTAGGATCACCCATCACCGTGATAAAAAGAAGTGATCTGAGTGCAGAGCTGTAGTAAAAAAACAAATTTTCACTTCCAGAAGGGCTTTATTGCCGGTGCTTGTTTGGAAGTGTGTCAAGAATCTGCTCAAATGCTTTTTTTCTGAATCCAGGTATCCAGGTTGTAGATGTATTGGTCTAGAGGCAAAAGGAATCAGAACTCATGGTAGAGGTGATATCTCTTATTAGACCAACTCAATTTTTGCAAAAAAAAAAAAAAAAAAAAAATTACAGGGTTTTTAAATTTTGCAATTAAAGGTTTTTGGGGGTTTTTTGCAAAAATCGAGTTGGTCTAATAAAAGATATCACGTCTACCACGAGTTCTGATTCCTTTTTTTTTCTGAATCTCCAAAGTCCACATGTAGCCGTTTATTATTCTTTGCAATGTTCTTGAAAGGAGGATTTCTTGCACTCTTCCCTTTCTGAAGAGCAGACTGATTGTGGCTGGTTTTTATGGTCCGCTTGATTTGGGTGTAATAATTTCTCATTCATTTTCACTGAGTGGCTAGGTAACTTTGTTCCCATGTTACTGGAGCATTGGTAATTACTACCTTTCCCTTTGAACTAGAATTATATTATATTTAGTCAACATTCACTTCAAATGTTTTATGCTGTACGGATTTCTATACTAAGTACAGTAACCACCGTTTGCCTTCATCTCAATGCGAATGCTTTTGTAGAAGAGCCATTCTCTTGTACCCATCTCCTAATGCTTCCTAATCCATCTTCTAATGCTTCCACAAGCTGGCTATATTCCTAAAACTGATGTTTACCTATTTTTTTCAGTTTATTTACTATTCTCATGATTTCCTCTGTGCTGTCAGCTAGAATTTCATCTTCATTTACAATCTCAGTCAATGAAAATGTTCTCTGGGAGATCCTCCTTTCAATAAATTCTCAAATTATATTTTTCAGGCATGCAAGATTTGTTTTAGATCCTGTGTTAATCTCCTTTACCCATCACTAATAGCATTGGGTGCATGGTTATTCAAGTCCATTATGCATTGTGGATTTTAGGTAGGTTATCAATTTTTTTTTTTTATTTTCTCTATTTTTTTTTTCAGTTCTTCTACGAGTCATTCAGTGCTGCTTCTCTCTGCTACCTTTTTTAAATACCTCTTCTCTTTTCTGCACGCAGGATTTGATCCAAATCTACTTTTGTCACTCTATAAGTTATTGTTTCTTTCATAGAGTCGTAGAAAAGGGAAGGGATGGCCATGCAACCACATCTAGTTCAAGCCCCTGCTTGAGGCAGAATCCTCCTGCAAGTGAGTTATATAGCCTGTTGGCCTCTGCAGGCAAGGTTTTGCTCCCTCTGGAGCTCCTTACCTAGTTGTCTCAGGTAATTCAGTCCTTAGTCCACAAAAAAGCCAACAAATGAACAAAATGAATCCCTCCTTCCCTGTCCCAAGCACTCAAAGAAGGGTCCTTCTGGCTCTGCCTCTTTGTATAGTAGCTTGGCTTGCTTCCTCCTCTCTCTACTTACTCTTCTGGAAACTTTGTAAAGCATCTAAAGGGTCACTCACTTCCTTTGCAAATGGGTTTTCTCAACAGAAGTGATTGTTCCCTCTAAAGGGACAGACCCCAACCTGTTACACATTTCTCCCCTCCAAAGTGGAATCACTGACCCACTCTTCTATACCTAGTCCTCCTCCTTCCTTCAAGAAGAAGTCCTCATTGACTCATGCAGTTCCTGGCTGATGGCATATGTCAGAAGAGTAGGGCTGTAGTGGCAGGTACCAGTGCATCCGTTTGGGATTGTCTTATCGTATCGCATGTAACCATGTTAAGAGGGCATGGTCCGTATGAAGAGCTAAAGGGGTCTTGAGGAGGTAATATCAACCACATACTTTATCAATCCTTCTCAATTACTGAGTATTTTTGCTCTCAGAGATGGAGCTTTCTGCTCATGGACTGAACTGGGTATTCTTCATTCTCAAAGTCCTGAGAGAAGAGATCCAAGGCCTTGCTCCAAGGCATCTGTTTGGAGAACAAATCAGCAACTGAAATGCAGACCATGCAGCTCCAGGTTAGCATACAGTATTTTCTCTATGTCCCCAGAAACATCAGGACTTGCTGGAGACTACTTTGCTTCTCTGGGTGCTGTTTTGCACAGCGTATCTATTAGGAGGGCTGTAACTGCCAAGAGCTGTGGGATAAAGTTAGTGATTGCTTGCCAATCCCAAGAAGGTCTTAGCTGCCTTTGTGTCTTGGATATGGCAGACTCTACGAATGTCAGTGAGAGGCCTAATCTCCCCATTGCCTAGTGCACATCCCTAATATGTGGTTTTCCTACAGCTGAGCAGGCATTTTGTGGGATTCGCTATGGGACCTGCAGATATATATACACGCACACAACACAGATCAATAGCTATATCGATATAGATATATAGCTCTATAGATATCTATATCTATATATTTATGTATATATATCTATATCTATCTATATCTCTATACCTATATCTATATATATATCTATATCTATAGATAGATAGATAGATAGATATCAATGTTGGATTTGACACAAGGGTAGTAGCAGATGCCCCTTGCTCCTGAGTCCTATGAGTTGACAGTACTCAAAAATACCTTCAGATCTGCACCAGTTTGGGATCTTCCCCTTTGATCTCCATAATACCCCTGCCACATTTCAGTGTCTAATAGATAAGTTACTATGGCCATACCAGGAGTATGGGGTGATTTATCTTGAAGTTGTGGTGGTATTCACTGGTATATGGAAGGGACTTCTCCAATGGGTTAGGGCAATGCTACAGCAACTTTGGGCTGTAGCATTGCCCTATCCCATAGATAGATAGATACCACTATTATAATGCATTGACCCAGGGTATTGAGTAGGAATAAAATTTTAACTCTGCATTCATCTTACAGAATTCAATACAAAACCTGATCATCTTTCCCATTTTGGGAACCAACATGATCAGGCTGAACCATTCACTGATTGATTCCTCAGTCAACTCATATATAGGATGTGTTGCACGCCCTTCTTTACCATCTCCCACAGTCTTTTGGATAGTTGGGAGAACCCCTTTTGGATGGGAAATTCTGGTTTCAGGATCTCCCCTATACAGATGTTCATTATCATCAGTTTGTCATTGACTCTTTTTTATTTTCAAGACTTGTCATTGCAAACCTTCCTGAAGAACAACCCCATGTCCTTCTCTTTGCCTGGAATTACATCCATGAGCATATTCATGGTCTCTGTCTTCAAGTCAGGATCTTGAAAATATATAAAAGCTTTCTCTTTCTTGTTTCTAGTACATCAGAGCACACTTTCCCAGTTGCTTCTGTGAGTTTTATACCCTTTATATACTTCTGTGTGGTTGAGGCTTTATAGTTCATATGACTATCCTTCTGCTTAGGGCCATCACCTGTTGAAGGGTTTTGCTGGTAGTGCCTTCTTTTTCATCCTCAATGTACACCTTACATTTTCCTGTAACTTGCCATGCGAATGCTTGAGTTTGTTGGCTTGTTCCCCAAATCCCAACTGGGCACTAAATGGGCAATAACCACCCTTTGCACACTCCCCTAAACAGGATATCGAGGTCCCACACCAGCCTTGATCAACCGCATCCAACGAGGGGAGATGGAGCTCTGGGTCTGTGACAAGGACTATGGAGAAAAGTCGTCATTGGAAGGCCTTTTCCCAGGTAAGAGTTGATTATTCCCCTCCCCAACTCTTTGCTGAGACCCTCTTGGTTCCTAGGATGAGTGGATGAGCTTGAAACCCTCAGCCCTTCCCTGAGCTGTTGCCTCAAAGTCCTGGCCACAAACAGCTTGCCCTGATCTGTGTTGTACAAGCAGATGTGTGTTCCCACTTCCTGCAGTTCAGTTATTTGGAAAGAGGAAACTGTTCCCTTCTTCCCTAGCAAGGGCTTTTGCAGCACAAAATCCAACTTCAACTCTTTGGCAATGTCTGCAACATCTCCTCTCTTTATCCTGAGTCCCAGGCACCTTGGCAAGGAGCTGTGTCACAGCAGGGGTTGGGGGTCTGTCCAAAAGGAAGTCACAAAATGTTAGGGTCAAAGCCTAGCGTGTTGTCTCAGTTAGATGCACAAATCATGCATCTTTGGGACGCCGTGAGCTGGAATTTCCATGTTCTCCCAACATTGTAAGAATTCATACCCCAGCCGGAGCTGGCCATATATCTATAATACCCTCTGGCAGGTTTGAATTGCCCCATGGCATTTAGCTTGATCAGCAGACGCTCTGGGAGGGCTGTTAAAGACAGGGCTATAGAGAGATTGGCACTCTACTACCCATTGGTGCTGGTCCTATTCCTTAATTGCAGTAGGAACTGCCCTATGTAACAGGGTTTCACGGGGGAAGAAATGTAGTGTCCCATCAGTGTTAAGTGGCTATCCACAGTTGGAATTTACATTTTTTTTATGCTTAGGAGGATATAAGCACTTCATTGTTTCCAGCAAAATTGCCCACTTTCTGCTTCATTTTGCAGGGGGCACAAATATTACAAACTGAGCCCCAAGACCCAGAGTCAACTTGGACTTGCACCCCTTGTTCTCCCCAAGTAGCCAAGGCCCAGCCATGCTCTTGGGCACGTCTCAACACAAGGCAGTGTCAGTGCTCTCCCTTTGGCAGCTGGACAGGAACTAATTTCTGGGCTCTTTTCTCCACCCAGCAGGTGCTGGGATGCTGAGCAGAGCTGAGCAGCAGTCTCTTGAGGAAGGGCCTGCAAAACTGAACCTGATTCGAGCCAGAAACGAGCTACCTTCCCAAGAGGGGCAGAGAACACCTGCAGCCCGAATGATCCCTGTGCGTAGGGAAGGATTTGAGGGGCAGAGAGACCTGAAGACCCAGGAGGGAAGAGTTGACAGCGGGGCTGACTCGTATGAATGCGGAGAGAGCTTTGGGAGCAAACAGGAGCTCAGGGGGCATGGCATAGCACACAAGAAGGAGCACCTCTGCAATGAGGGATGGAAGAGGTACCGCCCTAAATACCGGGTCATCAGGCACCAGCGAGCACACGTGGGGGAGCACCCCCGCCTCTGCTCTGAGAGTAGGAAGAACTTTGTTTCTCTACAAGACTTGCGAGTCCACCAGCGCGTGCATACGGGAGAGAAGCCGTACCACTGCACCGAGTGCTGGCAGAGCTTCACCAGGTGGGATTACCTTCGAGCGCACCTGCGGGTACACACAGGGGAGAAGCCTTTCTTGTGCACCCAGTGTGGGAAGAGCTTCACTGAAAGCTCACTGCTTACAAAGCACCAGCGCATCCACGTGAGGGAGAAGCCCTTCTCCTGCACGCAGTGTGGGAAGAGATTCACCCACCGCTCAACGCTCAGAAATCACCTGCGGGTGCACACGGGGGAGAACCTCTACCACTGCCCCGAGTGCGAGAAGAGCTTCACCCGGTGGGATCACCTCCAAGCACACATGTGTGTGCACACGGGGGAGAAGCCATTCTCGTGCACCCAGTGTGGGAAGAGCTTCACCCAGAACTCAGCACTCACGCAGCACCAGCGTGTGCACACGGGGGAGAAGCCATTTTCTTGCAGCCAGTGTGGGAAGAGCTTTGCCAGGCGGTATTACCTCCACGTGCACATGCACGTGCACACAGAAGAGAAGCCCTATGACTGCGCTAAATACAGGAAGAGTTTCACCAAGCAGTATCACCTCCAGGGCCACCTGCACGTGCACCCGGGGGAGAAGTCATTCTCCTGCAGCCAGTGCGGGAAGAGCTTCACCCGAAACTCAACACTCACCAAGCACCTGCGCGTGCACACCGGGGAGAAGCCATTTTCTTGCACCCACTGTGGGAAGAGCTTCAGCAGGCAGGACCATCTCCAGAGCCACCTGCGCGTGCACACGGGGGAGAAGCCGTTCTCTTGCACCCAGTGCGGGAAAAGCTTCACCGAGAGATCTACCCTCACGCAGCATCTGCGCGTGCACACGGGGGAGAAGCCCTTCTCCTGCAAGGAATGTGGGAAGAGCTTCACCCGGAGCTCGACGCTCACCGCCCACCAGCGCGTGCACACGGGGGAAAAGCCGTACCGCTGTGCCCAGTGTGGGAAGTGTTTCCATACGAGCTCCACCCTGACCAAGCACCATCAAAGCCACAGGGACCAGGCACTTGCATTCAACAGGGACAGCTTCTGCCAGCTCCTGTCTCATCCTCCTTCTGCCGTGGAGAGCGGGGTCCTACACCTGTACTGGAATGCCCCCAGGTATCCCTCCTTCAACGAGGAGTGTCCCAATTGGCCTGTCATAGTACCTTGTTGTAGCAGCTGGGACAGAGAAGACAACAGGGTCAGGACTAAATGATGGAGAACAACTGGCAGAGGCGATAAAATCCAGGGGTCAAACCCCACCCCCCATAAAACAAAGTTCCCCTGAAAACTTGATTCATCTCATCCCAGGCTACCATGAGTACACACACCAAGGGGATCTCTCACTGTTTCTTCCTCTAGTATCTTAGGACATTATTATTTCGATCCGTTTTTCACCCGCCTAGTTTACTGCATCAAGTTTCACGTCAACCGAGCCGGTCTTTCCTGACTGGATCGTTTTGGATGAGACACTTATTACAGATAATAAAGGGAATATCCGTGCATTAATTCTCCTAAGTCATTCATTACTTTTCTTGTTACCTTCCAGGATAGACTTGGCCATGGAGGTAACCTTACTTTGGGGTGGAGTTCAGGAATTAACCCATTCTTACTCTTTTATTGGAGACCTAGCCTCTGGCTCAGAAAATGGGAACCCAAGCACAGGGTCCCTCCTCCTTCCTAGATTCAACTTAAACTGGATGCAGTTCTGCAGAGAGGCCCTTCTCCCATGCCCCAGCCTTTCCCCAGTCTCCTCAACACCTCTGCCACTCAGCCCTATCTGTAGGCTCAGGTCAAACGTGGTGGCTTCTTAACCTGGCAAGGGAAATCCCATGTATCTGTGTCCAAGAAGGCAGTTTTCCTAAACCGCTTCGCAGGAGAACTGCTCTTCTGGCGTGGTTCAGTACCCGGCTTTAAGCCCAATTTATAGAAATGAGAGTCTCCTCCTTTGCTTGCTCTGAGAGTCTTATGGCTGAGGGCAAGCAAAACTCGGGGGCATCCGAACCCCAAGCCTCCGGGCTTGGGCCTGCAAGTAGGATGCCCGCCAAAGGTTATGGAAACAGCTGAAGCCCCGGGTGCAGGCGGAGGATGTTTGCCAGGAGTATGGCCACGTACAGTTCTGGACTCTTGCATAGGGAATTAATTTGAGCTAATTTGGCCTCGGATACAAAAAAATAGATCAATCTGTAGGTTCTAGCTAGGATGAGACCCATGCCACCTGGGTGTGTGAGACCAAGCCCGTGGCTCACAGCACTTTGCTGTCTCCATGGCCCCGCCAGTGATCTCCAGCTGGCTCTGCTCCTCTGGGGACTTTTCCCTCCGTAAAGGCAAAAGTGCAAGCCTCAGGGAAGTGCAATGAGGCAGGCCATGTCCCCAGTGCCAGCTGGCAGGGTCTGGTCAGCTGAAACAGTGCAAGAAGTGCCCTGGGGTCAGGGCAGCCAGATCTTTCCAGAGTCCAAGTCAGCATGGGTGTCAGGATCAAGACCACCCTTGTCCTCTGGGTCGCAGCTGTCCATTCCAGCTCCTAGCTTTGCTCTGCCCTGGATTAAAATTGACCCATCCCATCCCAGGGTTGAAAAGCTTACAAACCACGCGGGGAAACTGAGGCACGCACAGAATTCGGTTCTGCCGTATACTCTGAGGTGCAGGGGCCGGTACATAGTGCGCCGGGCCAGAGGGTGATGACGAGGTGCTGCATGGAGGAGACATCCCTTTGTAATGTGGGAGCTGATACATGCTGAGGACAGGGCAGTGATGGGCAAGGACAGGGTGAGTGCCTTGACCCTCTGCAGAATTTATTTGTTCCCTTTCCCCCCTGTAATAAACCCTGTTCAGTTGAATGTTGCTTGTGATTAAGGAAGTTTCGTCACAGTAGGACACCCAGTGAAAATTTACTTTCCCAGGTGTCTACATGGGGATTAAGCCACATTTGGAAAGTTAGTGTTAAACACTTACACTTGAACATAACCCTTGGCACTTCCATCCAGTGCCTGGCAGAAGGGTTACATGTCAAATAGGGAGTAGCATGCAGTGCATAAGGTTTCAACTCCATCTAAAGTTTTGTCTACAAGACAGTGGCCATGTCTACATGCATTGGCAATGCATAGGGGGTGAATGCGGGTGCACATTCACCCCCTGAGCTTGGCGGTGCACCGATGTTGCTGGTGGTCACTGCTTGCCACCCCCTTGCCTCTCCGCTGACACTGCTGGCGACATGTGTGGGCAGTCTCCAATCGCCGCTAGCTGCCGCTGACACTACTGGCAACATCTGCAGGTGGTCCCTGGCCGCCGGTTGGTGCTCATCACCTCGCCCTGTCCGTGCCACTGAGCTGCCTGCGGGAGCTCCCTGCTCACCACCGCCATGCCCCTGCTGCCAATGTTGCTGCCACTGCCTGCAGGCGGCCACTGTGCCCCCCCAGCCCCCAGGGGCACACAGCATTCGTGTCTACATGTTCATTAATGCACCTTAGATACTGCACATTTAGTTTAGTACTTGCTAAATAAAGTGCTAACTGAATGTACAGTAAATAGGGTTACTGCACAGTAGTGCTGGTGCAGTTATTTTGTGACGCTTACTGCACATTAGCCTAATAGCACTGTGCAGTAGGCTATTAGCATGGTTTGTAACCCTCACACTCCTGTGCAGTGTTACTAAGCTAATGCACAGTAAACCTCTCATGTAGATGCAGCCAGTTACAGCACTTTAGTTACACTGGGATACATAGTACCTAAAGCGGACACAATAGTGTAAAAGTGATATTGTAGCTATGGTAGTCCAGAAATTCTGTGAGGGGCAAGGATTTTGTAGGGTGATATCTTTTATTGGACCAACTATGTAGTTGGAATAAAGCTAGAAAAAACTTTTAGACTTTCTTCCTTGTGTTTCTGATGATAGGAAGTCAGGCACACGTGAAGCACAGCATAGGGGCTGAGAGAAATTCTCAGGTGTACCAGACACACCACTAGCAAAAGAAAAGCAGCGGATTGACTTGAGGAGTAAGGCCTAGCAAAAGGGGGAAATGGGGCTCAGTCTTATCTTCCTTGTGTAGAAAGAATTCAGGCGTTGGATAAATTATAATGGGCCGTAAATCCAATATTAGTGTTTAGTCCTTTATGGGAGGTGATAATAGTAATGACACCGGGGATCTGCTGGAAAATTAAGCATTTCTTGCCAAAGCAAGGCTCTCTTCCACTTGGTGCCTATGTGGAAGTGGAGAGTTTGCTTCTAATACTGAGTTGTGCAAGGTTGGGGGACTGTTTGAAAGCCAGGAGCAGAGGGGCTGGGAATATTTCTCTCAAGGTCTGATATGTGTCCAGCATAGGCTGTAGTTGTTTGATGGTTTTTCTGCTTGGTTCCAGTGTGACCACTGGGAGTGTGGGCATGCATCCATTTAAAGTTGTTTTATGCACATACAGTCACTGTGCTGCTGTATGAAAATGGGATAGATCGATTTTTATTAGTCATCTTCGCCCGGATAGTCACACTGACTGTAGTGTCACCCAATACTAGTGCAGTAATACTAGCACAAGTTGTAAGTGTAATCTAGGCCCAAGTCAAACTGTTTAGCAGAAACTGCCCGTTTCCACACCGCATTGCTGAGGCATATTTGTTCATTGCTCAAATTCAGCTGAGAGTTGACACCAACATTTGTTCACATCAGGGACGCTTGTAAACTCTGCGATGACTATTGGGTCGAGTCACATTTTTTCTCAAGCTCCTTGCTGGGCGATCTGAATCGCATGCTGTTCATTTTGCTTCTTGCCTGTATGCCTCCACAAGCTACTGTGTCTTATAGAGCCATAGAAAATGAGGGTGGGAAGGGATCTCAGGGGCTCACATCTAGTCCAACCCACTACTCAAAGCAGAGCCATCACCAGCTCTCTCACCCTAGCCAATATTTTATCTAGCCATGATTTAAAGCTCCAAGGATAGAGATCCCACATCCTCTCTGGGTAACCTGTTCCAGTTCTTTACTGTCCTCCTATCGAGAGAATTGCTCCTAAGATCTAGCCTAAACTTCCCTTGCTGCAACTTGAGACCACTACTCCTTGTTTAGTCATCTGTCACCACTAAGAATAGTCCCGCTCCATCCTCTATTAGCTCTATTAAATAATAGAGACACAAGGGGAGCATCTACATGTGCCATCAGGGGGCAGCAATACACTGCAGAGCTCATTGCTTTGCAATATGTTGCTGTCTGGAAGCTCCCTGGCATGCATCTGCACATGCGCCCATACTAGAGCTCGTTAAGCCGGGTCACAGCAGCCCCAGCTAGCAGGGGGCCATGGCATGATCAGCCTGCCAGCTGCTCCAGCAGGGCTCAGTATACTGCAGAGGGGCTGGCTGAGGCATGAGGGTGCGTCAGTGTGGGGCTGGACAGCTTGCAGCCCCTGCACTGAAGCTGCCTTGTGCCCCCACCAGCTGGTCAGCATCTGCACATGTGGCACTGCACATAAAAACCCCCTCCTCAGCAGGGTAGGACTTGTATTTGCCTGCACCCTAATAGGGGCACATGTGTAGACACTAAGACACGTACTGTGCGGTTCATTAGCCAACTGCACGGCATAGACATGCCCAAGTAGAACAAAACTGAGAGATGGAAGTGCTTGATCCTTCCCTTTTCTCCTGGTTTTTTTGTTGTTTTTGGCAGGATAAAACATCATCTCTGATTTATTTTGAACAACAAGGTGCAGCAGGAGTGTACCTAAGGGGACCAGCTGCAGACTGAACCCCACAGGCACCTGCCAGAGTCATCCTGCCCCTGGCAATGGTGAGGTTAAAGGATCTTTTTGCTCCCCATACCAGGCACTCCTAACACCTGCTACCTGAGAGGTAGGAAGCTAGGATGAACTTTTACAATCTCTGCTCTTTTCGATGCCTGATGAAGGGTGCGTGTGCCCGGAAGCTTGCAGATACATACAGTGATTTGCTTGCAAATGTCGAGTTGGTCAAATAAAAGCTATCACTCGTTCCATGAGTTTTGATTCCATTTGCAAGGAAGTAGGCAGCTGAGCAGGAGTCAGCTGCAGAGTAAGCAAGCGGCCAGGGAAAATATACAGCGCTAAAAAAATCAGCAGGGGAGAAGATAGGGGCTGTAATGCATAGTTTAAACTGCAGCACCTGGAGGCAGGCCTAGTACTGGGCTAATAAGACACACCTGGCAAAGGAGAAGGACACTTGATCGAAAGTGGTGAAGCCCAGCCTACTAAA